TCAGGCTCTGTGCTGACAGCTCAGAGCCTGGAGCCTGTTTCGGATTCTGTGTCTCCCTCTCTCTGACCCTCCGCTGTTCATGCTCTGTCTCTCTCTGTCTCAAAAATAAATAAATGTTAAATAAATAAATAAATAAATAACATTAAAAATTTTTAATTTTTTTAAATAAAAAAATAAAAAAATAAACAAACTCAAAAGCCTTCAGATAAATGTAAAATTAAGACCAAAATGTGAGAATACTGCACCCACACTAGAATAGCCAATTTTCTTTTTTAACTGAGAATATCAAGTATTGGTGAAAATGTGGAACAACCAGAACTTGCACACACTGCTGGTAGAATGAATATGCTACAACTACTTCGGAACCACCTTTCACAGTATCTAGTAATACTGAAATCCACATACTCTGTCAACTAAGAGTTCCATTCCAAGGTATAAGTCCCAGAGAACTGTGTATATAATGTGCACTAAAATACAGGTAAATGAAAATTCATAAAAGCATTATTACTGAGAGCCAAAATCTGTAAGAAAAAAAAACCCTTAAATGTCCACCAACAATATATGATGAACAGAACAAATTGCAGCATGTGTACACAATGATACTATGTGGCACTGAAAATAATCAATTACTGCTATATTCAGCAACATAGATGAATCTCAAAACATAAATTAATGACACCAGACGCAAAAGAGTATAAACAGTATAATTCCATTTATATGAAATTAAATACCTGTAAAACTAATAGATAGAAGTCAAAATAATAGTCACCTATGAAACTGGAAGGAGGAACAAAGGAGAATTCTGAAGTGGTAATGTTTTATTTATTTTATTTATTTTGTTTGAGAGAGAGACAGAGAGAGAATGCAAGCAGAGGAGAGCAACAGAGGGAGAGAGAATATCTCAAGCAGACTCTGTGCTCAGCACAGAGCCCGACCCAGGGATCAATCCCACAACCCTGGGATCATGACCTGAGCCGAAATTAAGAGTCAGCCACTTAACAGACTGAGCCACCCAGGCCTCAGTTATGTTTTATTTTTTAATGAGGGATAGTTATATGTGTATTCACTTTGTAAAATCTCCACGCTTATAATCTGATGATTGTTGTGATGGTTAATTTTACATGTCAACTTCACAGAGCTAAGGGATGCCTAGATAGCTGGTAAAACATTATTTGTATGTGCGCCTGTGAGAGTCTTTCCAGAAGAGATTAGTGTTTGATTCAGTAGACTTAAAAAAGGCACCCTACAATCCAAGTGGGCATCATGCAATCAGTTGAGAATGTGAATAGAACAAAAAGGCAGAGGAAAGGTGATATTGCTCATTGCTTGACATGGGACATCTATCTTCTGCCTTTGGACATTAACACTTCTGGATGTGTGGGCCTTGGCACACACCATTGGCTACCCTGGTTCTCAGGCCTCTGGGTTTAGACTAGAAATACACCAGCTTTCCTGGGCTTCCAACTTGCAGATGACAGATTGTAGAACTCAGCCTCCACAAACATGAGAGGCAATCCTTCATAATAAATCGCTTTCTGGGTATCTATCCTATTAGGTTCTATTTCCCTGAGGATTCCAATTACAGTTGCATACATCTCCATATTATGTTACATTTAAATTTTTAAGTTTACCCATATACAAGGTTTTCTTTTGGGGATAATGAAAATGTTTTGGAACTAGATAAAAGTGGTAATTGCACAACACTGTGAATGTGTTAAATGCCAATGAACTGAATACTTTTTTTAAGTTTATTTATTTGAAAGAGAGAGAGAGAGTGTGCAAGCAGGGGAAGGACAGAGAGAGAGGAGAGAAAGAATCCCACGCAGGCTCCACACTCTCAGCTCAGAGCCAGACATAGGGCTTGAACTCACAAACTGAGATCATGACGTGAGCTGAAACCAAGCATCGGACACTTAAATGAGCCATCCATCCGCCTCTGAAAGCTTTAAAATGGTTACGTTATATGAACGAACTCAATTAAAAAATAAAAAAAGCTACCCAAAAACTCAACCTCAATAAAATAATGTATATATTTATTAGTGGACATTACTACAAACATTAAAAGTTATAATGACAAACTTACCAACTGCTGTGTCACCATCTAACAAATTGTCATCTTCAGAAGTTTGAAAGTCCATAATAACACCTACTCCATCTAAAAGCTCCTCATCACTACTTGCACTTGTTATACTGTTGTAGCTGTTTCGATAGTATCCTCTATGGAACAGCTGCTCAGACTCCATTTAGTTCTCTGATTATCTGAAAAAAGAGGAAAAAGTAGTTTTAACATTTTCCCAGCGTATTATAAAAATCACTTAGTTTAACATAACAAAAAGAAACTTCTGATCTCTGTATTAAAAAAATACTAAGTTCATTCACTGTAACAATAGCTCACTCTACTAAGTCTTTTGGGATGATTTATTAATTCTATTCTCACTATGCAGCTACAAAAAAGAACAAAGAATTTCTTCATGTAGTGATACAAAACAAACTGCAAGATCAGTTGTTAAGTTAAAAAATTACAAAGAAGTGTTTTAGGTATACCACAATATATACGGGGGGGGGCAGTTATCCAAAAAAAGCAGGGGAGAGGGTATGGGGAAGAGGTAGAAAAACAGTACATAATGGCTTGTGTAAATATAGATGATCACTGGAGCGATTTCCAAGAAAAGTTGCCTACGGGAGAAAGGAACAAAATGGCTAAAGTACCAGGTCTAAAAGGCAAATTCTTTGTCTCTTTTGAGTATTTTACTAAATCCAAGTACTAATTTTAAAATGGTGTAATTTGGGGCACCTGGGTGGCTCAGTCAGTTAAGCGTCTGACCTTGGCTCAGGTCATGATCTCATGGTTCATGAGTTTGAGCCCTGCATCAGGCTCTCTGCTGTCAGCACAAAGCCCCGTTTGGATCCTCTGTCCCCCTTGCTCTCTGCCCCTTTCCCGCTCATGCTAATGAATACCTGTGCACTCTCTTGCTCTCAAAATAAATAAATAAATAAATAAAAAATAAAAAATAAATAAAATGCTTTTTTTTTTTTATTTTTAATGTTTATTTTGAGACAGATAGAGTGTGAGTGGGGAAGGGACAGAAAGAGAGGGAAATACAGAATCTGAAACAGGCTCCAGGGTCTGAGCTGTCAGCACAGAGACCAATGCAGGGCTCGAACTCATGAACCATGAGATCACGACCTGAGCCAAAGTCGGATGCTTAACTGACTGAGCCACCCAGGTGCCCCTAAAATGCTGTAATTAAAATTTTTTTAATATTAATTTCATTCTCCTTTCATTATTTTATTTTTTAATGTTTTTATTTTTAATTTTCGGAAGTGAGAGACACACACACAGTGTAAGTGGATTAGGGGCAGACAGAGGAAATACGGAATCTGAAGCCTGTTCCAGGCTCTGAGCCATCAGCCAGAGCCCAATGTGGGGCTTGAACTCGTGAACTGCAAGATCATGACCTTAGCTGAAGTCATTCACTCAACCAACTGAGCCATCCAGGCACCCCCTCCTTTCATCATTTTCAAATTTAAATCACAATTTTCATTTTTTCAAAGCAGATAATACTAAACATACTTATGTTTTCATTGTTCTTACTCTAAAAACAGTATTGCTCTTAAATTGTTTGATTTTTAAAATACATCTACTTACTTGCTCAATATCTAAATGGAGAGTGCAAAACATTACCAATAAACTTGAAAGGTTCATGTGTGGGACTTGAATGATACAGTCATAAAAGCAGTCAAACCAGTAAGCCTTGTAAAACAAGAACTTAATAGGTATGTCGTAATAAGTACATATGAAAATAAAAGATAATGGCACTAAGCATACTCCAATCCTAGTGCTGAATTCTTCTTTCTTTTTTAGGTAGGCTCCAAGAGTCACATGCTCTACTAAATGAGCCAGCCAGGTGCCCTTTTAGTGTTGAATTTTAATACTGAAGACTTGAAGTGTTTTAAGACAATCTCTTGTCCTCAGTAAACCATCCTTCTGCACAGGGAAAAATAAACTCAAAGAGCTATAACAATTAAAATTATTTGTAGAGATTGTACACTTCTTTTGAGAAAAATAAAACATTGCTAAAAACTATTTTTAACAGATTTATTATATAAATTTCCTAACTTCAAAACTACTTTAGAGAGGGTGAAGTTTTGAGAACTCCTTGAGAACATGTCTCTATTCTCAGCATCTGGCATAGTCATTGGTACATAATATATAAATAATAAATATAAAATGTCAAATTGTTTATTCAGTCAATGAGGTAAAAAAGGTAAAAAACTGAAACGTATTCAGTTTTCAATAAACAAATGCTCTCTACAACAGTACTAATCTGGCCCTGGGAGAATAACCAAAGATTTAGCACATGGATTACAAAGAAAACTTGCATAGTTATTGCTTTGCAACTTCATTAATGTTTTATAGTTACCTCTACCAAAGACAGCCTGTTATAACTTACTGAGATTTGTGTGTACTAATTAAAGCAAGAGTTTTATATCTAAGGTAAATGTTAGAATAGTTTGAAAATAACTATTCATGCGAAGAACTTTGCAGGGTCCATAAGGCAATCAAATTAAATATTGTGGCTCTTGAGTAAATAGCCAAAAGCCTTTTAAAAAAATAAGCATGAATCATTTGAATTTTGATGTATCAAAGCCCATATGCTAAGATTTTGGAAAGAATACACACATTCTGTTCATCATTTCTTTACCTCATGATCAGACTAGAAAGGCTTAAGACATGTGATAACACACATCAATGAACGTTAGCTAGAGGCTACATATCACTGAGAAATCCCTAAAATAATTAAATATTTCTGTGTACTGGGACCTCAATCAGCAATTCCAAGGTATCTCCTCCATTTCCGTAAAAGTCCTCAAAAACCAGTAAGTGATAACTGGGAACTTAACACTTACAAAATGCTTAAAAAACTTAATTTCACTAATACCTCTGAGACATCTAGCCTCTACACCTTTCTTTATAACAAGAGTGTCTAAAATTCTGTAGTAGTTGGGGTTCCTGGGTGGCTCAGTCGGTTGAATGTCTGACTTCAGCTCAGGTCATGATCTCACGGTTTGCGAGTTCGAGCCCCACGTCGGACTCTGTGCTGACAGCTCAGAGCATGGAGCCTGCTTTGGATTCTCTGTCTCCCTCTCTCTCTGCTCCTATCCCACTCACGCTTTGTCTCTCTCTGTCTCAAAAATAAATAAAACATTAAAAAAAAATTTTTTTAAATAAAATTCTGTAGTAGCATAAAGGAAATACACAGAAGAAATCTGGATACCAATGATATCCAGATGATTTTTAAGTTCTAAACCCAATTCCCAGGCTTGCCCACAAAAGGCTGTTAAACCACAATATGGCAGCTGAAATTCTGCATATTTAAAAAAATGAAAACAATACTACAAAGTGATCTTGTCCTTTTTAATTGTCAAAAAATATATTTAAAGTCATTTCTTTTTTTTTAAATTTTTTTTTTTAACGTTTATTTATTTTTGGGACAGAGAGAGACAGAGCATGAACGGGGGAGGGGCAGAGAGAGAGGGAGACACAGAATCGGAAACAGGCTCCAGGCTCTGAGCCATCAGCCCAGAGCCTGACGCGGGGCTCGAACTCAGGGACCGCGAGATCGTGACCTGGTTGAAGTCGGACGCTTAACCGACTGCGCCACCCAGGCGCCCCGAGTCATTTCAAAACATAATAGACAAACAGTGGTCTGTGAATATATTCTTGCAGTTATGAGGACTGGAGATAACCTATGAAAATCTCCAGGGATAAAGCCTGGTGTATTGCAGTAAATTCCTAAAGGATCTATGTACAATCACCTTGACCACTCTAATCTGATCTCCATACTATAGCCATCATGGTCTTTTCTGAAAGCAAGTCTGATCAGTAATCTCTCCATACTCCATGGATTAAAGCCTCAGTCACTTCTCACCAACTTTAGCAGACAAACTCTTAAACCTAGCAGACAAAATCCCTGCAGCCTGGCCTCTGCCTAGTTCTCTAGCTTCACTTTGAAGCATGTACTTCTTGCAGTCCTCTAGATTAACTGATCTTCCTCAGTCCTAACTAGGCTGTTTCCTGTCTTACAGCTTCCTCAGCTTGGAACATACCCTTTTCTCCCCCACCTAATTAACTTTCCTACTCATTCTTCACATCTATTTAACAAATTCTTAAATAGGGGCACCTGAGTGGCTCAGTCTGTTAGGCGTCGGACTTTCAATTTCAGCTCAGGTCATGATCTCACCATTTATGGGTTCAAGCCCCATATCAGGCTCTGCACTGGCAGTGTGGAGTCTGCTTGGGATTCTCTGTCTCCCTCTCTCTCTGCCCCTCCCTCACCTGTGCATGTGAGCACACTTTCTCACAAATAAGCATTAAAAAAAACAACTTTTTTTAAAGTTTATTTATCTTGAGAGAGAAAGAGACAGTGCTAGTGGGGGAGGGGCAGAGGGAAAGGGAGAAAAAGAATCCCAAGCAGGCTCCGTGCTGCCAGCACAGAGCCTGACATACTGCTCGAACCCACAAAACCATGAGATCATGACCTAAGCTGAAACCAAGAGCCACATGCTTAACCAGCTGAGTCACCCAGGCACCCTCCCCCCACTCCCCAAAAAAACCTCTTAAACAGTTTATTACATGTTCAGCATTAACCTTAACATGACAAAAATTAACTTGTTTATACTTATATTAAATATAATCACCCTAAAGGTTAGGTACTATTATTTTCCTCATTTAACAGATGAGGAAACTGAGGCACAGAGTTTAAATAACTTACCCAAAGTCATGCAAATAATAAGGAAAGCCTCTCTGACCTACTTACTACCTGGGCAAATCTCCCTAAACTAGGTCAAATTTTCACTGTTAGCTCTTAATTCTCTCCTTTATATCATTTACTACGGTTGTATGTAATATTATACTTATTTACATGATTATTTAGTTAATGTCGGTCTTCCCAACTAGAATATATCGTGAGATCTGACACAGTGTCCATTTCTGTTCAATATTCCATAATCGATGGTCATTAGCATAGTACCTAACACATATTAAGTGTCCAGTATTTTTTTATTCGACTTTTTGAAATAATTCTGATTTCACATGCAGTTGTAAAATATCATACAGAGATATCTTGTGTACCCTTTACTCAGCTTCTGCCAATGGTAACATCTTGCAAAACTACAGAAAATCACAACCCAAATACTGACATTGATGGTACAATCAAGATACAGAACATGTTGGGGCACCTAGATGGCTTAATCAG